GTCAGTTTTCACATCTTGAACCATCCTTGCATTGCAGGCATAAATCCCATTTGGTCATGTGTATAATCCTTTTAATATGCTGAGTTCTGTTTGCTAGTATTTTGTTGAGGATTTTTGCACCAATTCATTAGAGCTGTTGGTCTCTAGTTTTCTTATCTAGTAGGGTCTTTGTCTGACTTTGGTATCAGGGTAATACTGGCCTCATAGAATGAATTAGGAAGTGTTTACTTCACCAATATTTTTAGCATAGTTTTTGTTATGATTTGATTTTTTTAAGTGTAAATCATTAATCTATCTGGGTGGTGATATAATGTGATATGGAGAAAAAATTAAATGTTTCAGTATTAACCAATTAAAATGAAAAATTAAAATAGAATATGTTTAATTCTATGGTGATAACTTTGAAATCTAAATGAAATGAAACTTTCTGGAACAATATAGTAGTTCATCTAGTCTCAAGACATAGGTAACCTGAATTGATTAATAGCATTGAAAAAGTTATAACAGGGGCCGGCCCTGTGGCCAAGTGGTTAAGTTCGCACACTCCCCTTCGGCAGCCAGTTTGGATCCTGGGTGCGGACATGGCACTGCTCATCAGACCATACTGAGGTGGCATCCCACATGCCACAACTAGAAGGACCCACAACTAAAAATATACAACTATGTACCGGGGGGGCTTTGGGGAGAAAAAGGAAAAATAAAATCTTTAAAAAAAAAAAGAAAGAAAAGAAAAAGTTAGAACAGTTAGCTCCAAAATCAGTTTCTGAGCCAAATGTTTTACTAATGAACTCTTCCAAATTTTTAAGGTATGGATAATTTAGTTTATATGTAAATATTACTAGAACATAGAAAATGAGAAATTGTAAAACTTTCCAATTTATTTTATAAATCTAGCATAAAGATAGCAAAACCTGATAAATTTAACAGAAAAAAGAAAATGCCAGACCAGTCTCACTTACAAGCAGGGAAACAAGAACCCTAAATAAAAGTAAAAACGTAAATCAAACTTGAACAATTTATCCCAGAAGTGCAAAGGTAATTTAATACTGGGAAATCTATTAATGTAATGCATCACTGAAGAAACGCAAGGCGAATGAAACATACTAGCCATTGTGACTTCTTTTGCAGAAAGAAATATGTCACTGACTAACAAATCTTGCCAATCTTTTTGTTTTGTTTTAATTGTTAGTTGTAAGCAGCATATACATGAATTGCAATTTAAAAGCCATTATGAGAGGCTTTTAATAAGGGACTTTAATTCATTTTTATTTTTCATTATCAATATTTTTGATCTTACCTTGTGTTGTTTGCTATTTTTGTTTTACTCCCTTCTTGGTTCCTATTATTTCTTTATTGTCAGTGTTGTGTTTGTTTTTTCTTCTCCAGTGATTTGGTAAGGTGTACATTCAGTTGTAAGGTTTATTGTGGTTATTTTAAAATTGTTCAAAAAGACTCTTTAATGTATATTTCTGTAATAGTCAAAGTCAACACTTCAACAGATATCTTTTTTTCTCCCCCCCGTATGTAAAATAAAGAATTTTGTATACTTCATTTCTCTTCACTGCCCTATATAGTTACTTGGATAATATCTGTGGTTTTGGATCCTTGTTATTTATGTTATTTAGCTCTATCTCTATTTTTAAATGCTTTCAATGGTCTTAACAGAATTTTTTATATAATGGCTTTTCCATTTTTAAGGTTCTAATTTTGATTTGTGAGGGCTCAGCTGGATCATTTATTCAAGAAGTTCTTTGAAGGAGGATGCATAGAGTCATATTTTCTGAGCCCTTGTATATTTAGTAATATGTTGGGGGGGCCTTCAGACATTTTATTTAATTGAGTATAAAATTTTTAACTCACAAGATTTCTGTCTTAAAACTCTAAAACTTTGTTTCATTGTTTTCTGCTATTTAATGTTGCATTTAACGTTGCACAGAAATCCGAAGTCAACTGCAGTTGCATTGTTTTCTTCATATTATTTAGTTTTCCTACTTGTATGGCTTTATCTATGTAATTAAGATTTACGTAAGATTTTTCAAGATTTAATACTTTATTCATAGATTATTGTCTGACATTTAGTGATCTAAAGTTGATTTTTTTTTTAATTCAAGAAAGTTTTCTTCAGCTTTGTGTTTACTTATTGATTCTTTCCATTTCTTATTTTATCTTAGGAACAGTTCTGTTTCTTAGCTTACAGCTCCTTTCTGTCCTCTGATATCAGTATATTTCTAACAGTTTTCATCTCTAACTTTTTACTCTACATTCTGAGACATCTTCTGAAGTTTGTATTCTGTATCACTGAATTAAACTTGTCATGTTATTTTTACCCTTGTTTCCTCCAATGTGATTTTAATTCTTAATTATTTTTCATCTTGATCTGTCCTCTAACTTACTATTTTAAAGATAGGAAACTTTCTTGTATTTCACTGATACCAAAAGTTTTCTAAAATTTTGTTTCTGATTCCTAGTTTTAGATGACTTTCCTCTCTTTGAGTGATCAGAATGGTAGTTCCCAGGTGTGTTTGCCAAAAGACAATGTATATAAATTGTCCATAGCCCCACATTTTGCTCAGCTCAGGTCATTCTTGATCTACAGCTGTATGGGTTCTTAGATGTCTCTCATAGCTCTGTTTCCAAGGTCTTAAATGAGATTTTCTTCTCTATCATTGCCTGGTTGTGTGCTCTTCTGAACAGGTGAGCATGTACAAAAATAATAACCTCAGACATTCACTGCTTAACATCTGTCCCATAGACAATGTTTTATGTGGGTTACTCTTTTATTTAGGGTGCAGTTCACCGCTGCAAACCCTTCTCTACTTCTTGCCAAGTTGTTTTCTGGGAAATTTAGTCTCTGCTTAGATCAAGAAACAGAGTAGTGATGGAGTGAAAGGGCCAACAGGAAATATCACTGGCTTCTCTCTCAAAAAACAGCACTCACCCAATAGAGAAACAACTGCATGGTTTTCTCTTCGTACATGATTTTCTGTTAGTATGTTTCCGAACCAGAAGAAAATAGTGAGAGCTGCTAAGGATCTCTGTATCTACTTGCATATGGCTTGCTCTCTCTCACAGGATAACTGATGGATGGTTTTGATTTCTGTTCCATTGGCTTGCAGTACTTCAATTTATTAATTCATTATTTTCAACAAGTACTTATTGAGTTCTTACCATGTGCCAGGCACTTTACTAGGTACTGGTTATATATAATGTTGAACAAAACAGAGTGCTGCTTCTTTCATTGATGGCAAAAGTTATTTCTGGACTTTGTCAGCAATACATTTTGGTGATGGTGTGATGTTTTACTTTCCTGTTCTTTTTTTTCTTAAAAAGTACTTTCTGGCAAGTTGAGAGGCTGTGTTAATAACTATAGTCTAGATACTTAAGAATTTAAATTCTTTCTCCATATGTATTTTTTAAGTTGCTCTGGATCCAGGAGATAATTTTTATGAACAGAGTGTTCATTTTCCTGACCTTAAAGTATTGCTTCCCCAAAACCTCTCGTCACAACTAACTTACTGCTGTCCTTGCCTTTTTTCTTAAACTTTCTTAGTTAGATGAATAAAACTATCATATCAACAAAATTGTTTTATATGATGTTTTATATGATGACCTCAAATATTGTGGCATGATAGCACTTTAGTTTACCTTAGAATTTTCATCCTGAAAGAGATTCATATCTATTTGAAAGACAAGCAGTAAAGCTGCATCAGGTGTTAATAGATGAAGAATTTGGTTGGTTTTTAAATTTATTACTTGGCATTATTATTAAAAATAAAACTTGAGGGATTTAATTTTTCTCACCATTTTTTACATAAGGAAACATAATTTTTGTATGTGATATTTAGAGAAAACTTATTTTAGAACCTTTCATACTTAATGCTTTCAGTAAATATTACGAGCTTTTAAAACAAAAAAATCACAGAATTTAGTGTATAAATAGACAAGAAGAAGCACAAAGTACACATAGACCTATAAGTGTGAAATGTAATGAGTAAAGCAATTGTTTAATTTTAGTAAGTAAACCCATAAAAGTGAGATAGAATATTGACTTACAATTTTGATAGCTAACATATTCATTTGGTAATTTATAATAGAATATTGTCAAGGAAGGGAAACTTTACACAAAACAGGACCTGGCAATTATAAATCACATCTCATTTTAATTTCCCGGACTTCTCAGTATTAAAAAGGAAGAAGTTTTCTATGTGCACTCATTGGGGCAGAATTACATTTATAAGATTGTAGTCATCTTGAGGGTAAGGACTGATGTAAATTACTTTGTGCAGCAGAATATTATAGTCAAAAAAGTTTTGTTGCTTTTGATAAAGAAGATAAGAATCCTTTGGGAGAAATGTAGTATCTTCCCTAGGCTGTTGTAAGATTAATAGTAATATTTGTTTTGAAGGTAGGGGTCAGGATTTGGAAGTATTTTTATGTTAGCTATACCAGTCTCAACCAGTTTGTTCTCACCTGGGGCAATTGTGTTAAATCTGTTGTTGTAAAGGAGGAGGGAACAGCTTCATCAGGTGAAGTGCAGAGTGTGTTGTTCACAGCTGTTTTACCCAGGGATTAGAAGTCTTCAGCCCCACTCCCCCCGCGTTACCTACCTCTCTGCAAAGAGATCCCATAGCCCTAATCTACATGCTGTCTTTAGCTGGAAGGCAGGCTGATTGTGTTGATCTTTCAGTTCCTCATATAACATTTTATATTAACTTTGTGGTAAGAAACATGGCTAATTGTGCATTGTATTTATTTTGTAGCAGAGATAGATTAGCATTGCTGAGATTTCAATTTATGTCCGTTGGACACTTGCCTGAGTACTATGGTTTCTATAAGTTTGATATTTGCAAACTTGTTTTGATTTGTGTTGTACTTGAATAAATGGATACTTGACATATTTTCCCAAAACTCTTTTAAAACAATTGTTTATATAACATATAATTTTAATTTTAAACTCATAAACTCTGTATGTTTATAATAATTGATTTACTTGTTTCTAGGGGCCACCTACAGATGCTCCTGCAGTGGACACAGCAGAACAAGTCTATATCTCTTCCCTGGCGCTGTTAAAAGTAAGTATTGAATGGAGTTACTTGCTTTTGAGAGCTCTGTTGCTTTCACTATATCTTTTACTTCGGAAAATTTGTCCCCTTAATGCTCTCAGACAAGCTTTTGTTTTAGCTGCATCCATAAGAGTGTTTTATTTCCACTGAAACAAAATTAGGTTATTAATTAAAGAAAGAAAGACCAAAGATCTCAAAGCTTTGTGTCCACATATCTTCCTCTTTACAGATGTTAAAACATGGTCGTGCTGGAGTTCCAATGGAAGTTATGGGTCTGATGCTTGGAGAATTTGTTGATGATTACACCGTCAGAGTGATTGATGTGTTTGCTATGCCACAGTCAGGAACAGTGAGTACTTTTATGGTTGCCTGCTGCAAGTAAATGTTTCTTTTTTCTTTTCCTATGCAAAATAACTTTCACTATATTATATTGTCTCTTCCTGATAGGAAAAATTCATCATAAGATTAATGATGGAAATTTCTAGACTGTATTGAATTAAGTCATTCATCTTTTTTTTCTTTCTTTCCTTTTTTTTTTTTTGAGAAAGATCAGCCCTGAGCTAACATCCTGCTGCCAATTCTCCTCTTTTTGCTGAGGAACATTGGGTCTGAACTAACATCCATGCCCATCTTCCTCTACTTTATATGTGGGACACCTGCTACAGCATGGCTTGATAAACAGTGCATAGTTCTGCATTTGGGATCTGAACAGGTGAACCCTGGGCCACCAAGGCAGAGTGCGTGAACTTAACCGCTATGCCACCGGGCTGGCCCCAAATCATTCATCTTTTAAATGCATCATGAATTCCCTATAGATCTACAAACTGAGTGATGCGACCATGAAATCCGGTTACTCATACCTCCAGCTTTAACTAGGTTAGTATGCTGGATTTATAAATTAGTTACCCTAAAATAGTAGGGTATTAGTTTGAACACCTGGTTCAAAAGACTTCAGAGATTCTCTCAGTTAGACTTTTAATTCACATACGTTATCTAGTCCTCATGTTTTGTTCTCATTGTTTTGAAATTTGACCATTTTTAAATGTTCTATATGTAGTGATAGATGACTCGTAGGCTTTTCCTATTCAAATGTTGAGTTTAAAAAAACAAAAAGAACACGGTGAACTTTAGTTCTTTTTGCCCAGGCATGATAGTTTGTTTATAGAAGAAGCATACTCCACACAGATTTTGAAAGTCATCTACTCTACCTGGTTAGAATACATTATTCTTTCTGGAAGTTTTTTTTTGTTTTGCTGTTTTGTTTAATGCATTGAACTTGTGTAGATAGGTATGCATTTAGATTTAAAGAAGATGGCCACAAAAATAATAACCATTCTATCTGTCTTCCAAAAAAAAACACACATAGGGCTGGCCCAGTGGTGTAGCACTTAAGTTCGCACACTCTACTTCGGCCTTCGGATCCCGGACACAGACCTACACACTGCTTATCAAGCCATGCTGTGGTGGGCATCCCACATATAAAATAGAGGAAGATGGGTACAGATGTTAGCTCAGGGCCAATCTTCCTAAGCAAAAAGAGGAGGATTGGCGGCAGATGTTAGCTCTGGGCTAATCTTCCTCAAAACAAAGCAAAACATAAAATAACACACATATGGGGCTGGCCCTGTGGCCGAGTGGTTAAGTTCGCATGCTCCCCTTCGGCAGCCCAGGGTTTTGCTAGTTCGGATCCTGGGCGTGGACATGGCACTGCTCATCAAGCCATGCTGAGGTGGCATCCCACATGCCACAACTAGAAGGACCCACAACTAAAAAAAAGTTATACAACTATGTGCTGGGGGGCTTTGGGGAGAAAAAGGAAAAATGAAATCTTTAAAAAGAAAAACCAAAAAGACCCACACATAGCCTCATCTGTTTGCCTAGAAAAATATGATATGTATGTTTTTCTGATGGACATGTTTTCTCTAATATGCAACATTTATCAAGCCTTGTAAGATATCTGGATTAAAGAAATTGTCATAAAGCTGTTCTCTTTGAGGCTCTTTAAATATACTTTGATAAGGTAGATACTAGAGAAAAGCAAATTGTAATTTTAAATAATGCAATATGTGTGTGTGTGTGTGTAGTAAGCATTTTAAATTGAGTAGTTGCTACAGAATGCAATGTATTTGTAAATAATGCAAAATATAGAAAAATACACAAATTTTTCTTTAAATAGACCAGTTTGTTGAGGTAAACTAATTTGGATCTGCCGATTTTGCCCACCTGGATATGTATTTTGGCCGTTTGGACATAGAGAAATATGCTACATATTAATTAAAGATTTAGATTTAAATCATAGACTGTTTTTACTTGCATCTATCTTTTCATGTCAGAATATATAAAACATTAAAATTAACTTATTTCTGTTACATGTGGTCCTTATGTGGATATCCATCTATAATAAAGGGTTCTTAAACTTTAATATCTTTATTTCCTTTTAAATGCTTGTTTGACAATGTAAAATAGAAGGTTTTGATTCCCATGTTCATTCCATGTAGTAGAATTAGAAAGTTTTTCTTCTGGCCCAAGAGTTAGCAAACTTTTTCTGTAAAGACATATGTCTCTGTCTCATATTCTTGGTTTTTTTTTTTAACAACCCTTTAAAAATGTAAAAAACCATTCTTAGCCTGTAGGCAGCAGATTGCATACCCCTGTTCTTGAGGATGCATTCTCAATTAGAATTCAAAATACTGTTTGTTTTGGTAGGAAAGAAGTGCTTATGTTAACTGGTTTGTTTAAGTAGATTAGACTTAAATTCCTGATGTTAGAAGAGAGCCTTGTGGGAATGTAATGGCAGTTATTTATCACCAGAGAGATGATAGGAATGCGCTTAATTCTTCCATGTTCTAAAATCTTCTCTTGGTTGAACTAGGAAAATAATGCAACACATAAAAGACTGGGTTATAGATTGTCTCTAGGGGGAATTTTTTGTGAATGCTTTTATATTTGAGTTAATATTCAAAAGTGTATTTCCCTCCAAAAACCAAGTCTACCAAGCAGTGCTAACTGAAGCACTGAACTACTTCACCTCCTAAGCCACCCATCCAAAAAAGGAACAAAAACAACTCTGGGAAACTAATAAATTATTTTCCTTCTTCAAAGTGTTTACTTTGTTTACCTTACTTAGAAAAGACTTGAGGCTGTTGATTATTATAATAGCTGTGTAGTTGTAGAACTTCAAATGAGATGGAAGAGATACACAGTGCTTATCAGTTATCAGAGGATGGCATTAGGAAGTATGCTTGCCTAGATAAGTCTAAGCAAAAAATAGTTGGTTCAGCTATTTGGTATTTCTGGTGTATACATAGCCAAGGCCATCTCTTAAAGGATCCTGAAAATTGTCTTGACTCATTAGCTAACAGTGGTTTAGTACTTGGCAATTTTAGAAGCCTAAGTATTTATTTATTTATTTTTTTTAAAGATTTTATTTTTTCCTTTTTCTCCCCAAAGCCCCCCGGTACATAGTTGTGTATTCTTCGTTGTGGGTTCTTCTAGTTGTGGCATGTGGGACGCTGCCTCAGCGTGGTCTGATGAGCAGTGCCATGTCCGCGCCCAGGATTCGAACTAACGAAACACTGGGCCGCCTGCAGCGGAGCGCGCGAACTTAACCACTCGGCCACAGGGCCAGCCCCCTAGAAGCCTAGTATTTATTGACGTATGGTTTATAATTGAATGACATGAGTGGGTATCAGATATGAGTATCAAAACCTATAAAATTATTTTGGTATCCCCAAATAACATATGGGTTTTTTGGTAGGTTTTTGGTCATTTATGTTGCAAATACAAAGGGTTTTTTTCATAGTTATAAAAGCTGATCATTTTTCTTTCTTTGTCAACCAGGGTGTCAGTGTGGAGGCAGTTGATCCAGTGTTCCAAGCCAAAATGTTGGATATGTTGAAGCAGACAGGAAGGTATTTTAAATGATCATATAAAGGGTTAATGGGAAATATTTTCAGAAATGTTTCTCATAATTTTGGTTTTGAATATTATTTGAATAGTTTACAAATATTCCTAGGAAAAAAAGCCACGGAGTTAGTATAAAAGTATTACTATACTTTTGTATAGTGCCGTACACCACCTATCTGGTATCTCTTCCCCCTAGAATCAAAGAAACTTGCCAATCAGAAAACTGCCTCCTGTTAAAATTCTCAACTGTCACATAGTAAGCTTGGGCTGTAGCTTTCCTCTGTTTAGCATATGGAATTACTCTCTAGTCACTTGTAAGTGAAAGAGCTTGTATGTTCCATGTATTTGAGAGTTGCAACTGAATAAGATTCTGAATATTTAATTATATTTGTAGGCATAAGAGTGTTAAAGACAGGGAAAGTAGAATCCAAATATTACTCAGTTTTTCCCCTCCAGATTAAATTTCTCAATGGTTGTCATTCTCTTGCTCAAATTCTTCTACTGTGGAAAAAAACTTCAAAATTAATGTTAGCAAAAGGCTCAGCAGCTGAGCAGAACAGTGCAAATTGGTTTTTGACTGAGTTCCTAGTTCTACTGCTGGTTTAATTGATATTTAATCCTTTCACAACAGTGGATCCTGGTGTCCATTGTTAAAAATGTACTCTGCCTGGAAAATCCAACTCCCAGAGCTAAGGAGTTAAAGAGTAGATATTTACTTGAATGCTGAAAGGGTAAAAACTGGCTCTGAGAAAGTGTGGTAACAAGGTGAAAAACTGAAAGCCTTATCCACCACTGCTAATGTGCATCTCTTAATGATAGCACTCCTTTGTCACACTTATTCATTTCCATGTTTTCTGGGTAATATGGTATATGATTTCAGTGTTTCTAATGGTGCTTTTTCACACCTGTGTGTTTTTCATCTCTTCTTAATTTATACCCTGTTAATGTGTTGTTTCTTTTCATATCATAAGTGTGTTACTTGTTCTGTTCTGAACGGCTGAATGCCCTCTTTGTTTCAGGCCTGAGATGGTTGTTGGTTGGTATCACAGTCACCCCGGCTTTGGTTGTTGGCTTTCTGGTGTGGATATCAACACTCAGCAGAGCTTTGAAGCCTTGTCGGAGAGAGCTGTGGCAGTGGTTGTGGATCCCATTCAGAGTGTAAAAGGAAAGGTAGAGTAGATTCTGTCTTTTTAGCATCTACTGCCACATTCTGTTTACAGATATATTAAGTGAAAATCTATTTTGTTTAAAGCAGTATTCTTAATTACACAAAAAACCCTGTCTGTTTACTTAAACAAACAAACAACTCTGTACAAGTTGATAAATGTGTCTTGGTGGTATTAGCGATTTAACTATTTAGAGATTTGATTCTACTCTTGCACCTATTGTCTAATCATAAATGTTTATCTTTAATTTTTTTATTTCATAGATTTAGGAATGTTAAACCTTACTAAAAGCTTGCTATACATGTTATATTAATATGTTTATGAAATTGTTCTATCTTCTTTTATTTTAAAATGGTGAATTTGAGATTGACACAACATTTTTAAAACCTAGTTAAAGAGCTCTGCTTTGTAGGCATTGTGCAGGACATGTTTTGGAGTTGTATGTTCCAAATATTTTAGATAATGAAAACTTGCCCCAAAGACTTGGTATCAGACATTTGTGTTTTTGGAGTGAGGACACAGATGAATAATTAAATATGCTAAATGATTCTGAAAAGAGATTAACTTGCAAAGCATATCGGGTTATAGTTGTTCTTTGTTGAAATCTTTTGTTCTTGTTTAGTTCTTTTTTTTTCATTCATTCGTTCTTTCTCTTTTTCTTTTTTTTATTTCTTTCTTTCTAGCCCCATATGCCATTTTCCTATTTCCTGCCTCATGACAGCAGGGAGCAGCTCTATTATCACCTTCACAGAGCTGTCTGCAAATGTGAGAGGCAATTCGATTTTGCTCAACCACAGGGAGAATGGATTAGAAAAACTACAGAACATACAGAAATTGGCTAGGTGGTTACTGCTTTAAAATACTGCTGAGGTGTCTTGTTTGAGCATGTACTTCCATTGTAGTGTAGAATAATTGTTAAAATAAAATCACAATACATTTATGGAATCCTTTTTATGCAGCTTTTACAAGTAATTTTTAGAGCACTTAAAAATAAATATTGGCTTGCTATCTACCAGACCTGGAGTTTGATAGTATTGCAGATTACCAACTAAATATGGCTGTTAAAACATGGAGTTTTTATCTGTCATGAATTTGAAGTTGTACTCTTTCTGACATCATATTATTATGATGAATAAAAATTGAGGTCTTCTCTAAATCATCATCCTATTACATGTGAGTTAACTTTTCAGAGGCGGAAACTAGCTACAAAAACAATAATAATAGAAACTGATATACTAGGCAATTCAGAATGGATAACTTCTGATGCTTGCTATGTACCTATATTTCAATTTATTTACTTTCCTTTTGCTAAGTGTATTGTTACTTAATTGATATAGATAAAAAGAGTTGAAAATCCTTCACTGTTGTTAGTTTTACAAATTAAAAGTATAATATAATACTTCTTAAGTTTAATTCTCTGATAATTAAGATACCTTTTTAGTAACTCGTAAGTAACTCATTTAAGTAATAACTATTATTTTAGAAATATAATGGAATTATCTAACTCCAGTATTTACAAATAATAATCGAAGCTTGATTTTAAACATAATCAGAGTTCTATTTTGTAGTATTAGTGTGACTGACTTTTTTTGATACTTGACTCGTGATAGTGGCCGCTTTGAAGAGGAAAATATGAACTTAAATACAATGAAAGAAAGCATTCTCAAAATAGAATGTAAATAAATGAGTATGTATTTTATTTTTGGTTATCTTGTTTATAGTATTTTAAGTGGCAGTTTTAGTTTCCAAACCTAGTTTAAGTATTATATGACATTGGAATTTGCATTGTTTATTTCTAATTAATCATAATTCGTATTAGAAGAGTGCACAGCATTAAAAATACACTTGTGTCACATGACTTTGTCATGTGGTAAAATGTAGTATCTATAAAAAATTATATATCTAAAATTACTTTATGAAATCACATGTATCACTGTCTGGTTTTATACATCATGAAAAAATACTTTTGAAAAAATTTAGTATAAATATCTATCATTGACGATTGATGAGTCATATCACTTGTTGTACCTAACATATAGATTCATACAGTTATATCACCTGAAACAAGGATCCAGGTCTTTGTCAATAATGTAACTTCATCTGTAAGGTGTCTGAGTTTGGTTATAATCTATGATTCTGTCAGTGTCAAGACCTCTCAAAACTATGAACCAAATTAAATGGTAGTAAATCTGTGGTCAGATTTCTAGTTAGATCATTAAACTTAAGAATATAAACTTATAAAAAATGAGGAATAACATAGGACTCTCCGTCTTCCCTGTATGTAATTTATCAAAGCTGCCAAAATATTCAGATCAAGAGTTAAAATGCCAATCTGTATGCAAATGATTTAAGTTGGGTCTCTGTTCACTTAATACCTCTTTTCTGTATATTTTTATATTTCCATTTTAATAAATCCCAATATCATCTCTCTGTTTTTGAGTGATTAGATAAGCATGGATTCTTTCTTTGTAATCTCAATTCGTAATGTTTGATTTTCTTTTGTAGTGACTTGACTGTATCTTTATGGAATTACTGCTGTGTGCCAGATATTGTGGTGATAACCATTTCAACTTGTCTCATTTATTCTTTTCAGTAATTCTGGAGATAGGCACTATTATTCCATTTTATCAATGAAAGGGTAAAAAAATTAGGGCCAGAAAGATTACTCTGTCCCAAATCATACCATTATTAAGCAGCAGAGCAAGGATACAAATCTAGGTCTATAAAATTTAAGAGCTCAAGCTGTTTTACTGGCTCTTTAATATTTGACAATTATGAATGATATAGTTAGAGTAACTCAGGTATGGAAAATGAGTACCAGAAGTCATCATAGGGCCTTTTCTTAACTTACATGGATAGGTGTCACTCCGTTCGCATAAGTCAGGGGAAGGAACTACACATGTTCTCTAAGTTCTCAATAGTTCTCTGTACTATTTATAGTGGAGATTACATGTTAATTGATTTTTCTCATGTAGTGTTTGTTATATTAATTTTAAAAAACAATTTAGACAGACTCATCCCTCTCAACTTTTGTGGTATCCCTAGGACCAAACATTGAGACCAACATAAATAATAAAGTACACTATATGATAAAGAATCCATATCATTCTGTATATTATATAATCCTGTAAATGTTTAAAAATGATATAGGTGAAAATCAGTGATAATAACATTCATAATTTAAAGATTTTATTTTTCCTTTTTCTCCCCAAAGCCCCCCGGTTCATAGTTATGTATTTTTAGTTGTGGGTCCTTCTAGTGTGGCATTTGGGATGCCACCTCAGCGTGGCTTGATGAGTGGTGCCATGTCTGCACTCAGGATCCGAACTGGTGAAACCACAGACTGCTGAAGCGGAGCGCGTGAACTTAACCACTCAGCCACAGGCCCTGCCCCAACATTCATAATTTAAATGTAGAGTAAGTCCATAGAAATGACCAGTGAGCTCTGCTCTAAACTTATCAGCAAAATAGTTTTTAAGATCCTGTTTTAGTTTATTTGTAAAATACACATATTCAGATATTTTAAACTTCAGTTCTCAAGTGGCAAAGTGGCAGCCTCTTGCTTAATGTTTTGTTATGTTATATATTTAGCCCACAGCTGGACTTGATCCAGCAGCAAATTTACAAGTTAATTCAACTTGTAATATAACTATACTTCTTCCTTAGGGCAAAAACAATGATCACTTTGTGCAAAGTCATAAAACTAGCAAACAACTATTACAACTTTTGAGGACTCATTTTCTTATCAGGATTCTTGTCAGCAAAATGTTCAAATGTAGGGCTCACCCAGTGGCGCCGTAGTTGAATTCACACTTGTTGTGCTTAGGTGGGCCAGGGTTCGCTGGTTCGGATCCCAGGTTTGGACGTATGCACTGCTTATCAAGCCATGCTGTGGCAGGCATCTCACATATAAAGTAGAGGAACATGGGCATGGATGTTAGCTCAGGGCCAGTCTTCCTCACCAAAAAAAAAAAAAAAAAAGAGGGATTGGCAGTAGATGTTAGCTCCAGGCTAATCTTCCCCCCCCCAAAAAAAAAGTTCACTTGTCACCTGCTAACTCCTAACCATCTTTTTGTCTGTTCTCTATTTTGAAAACACAAAAAAACACACTAATAACCCTTTAATCCAAATAAATCTTCACACTGGTTGGGTTTTCTTGAAAAATTTTTATTTAATCTGATGAGAAATATTCAGTGGACTTTTAAAAATAGGATGTTTATCAACTCATCAGCAGATATTTCTTTAGTACATCTGATGTGCCTATATGCTAGTGGTTCTGGGATACAGAACAAATGAAAAGTGTTCTTGGGGGCCAGCCCTGTGGCATAGCAGTTAAGTTCTCATGCTCTGCTTCAGTGGCCTGGGATTTGTGGGTTTGGATCCCTGGCATGGACCTACACACCGCTTATTAAGCCATGCTGTGGTGGCATCCCACATACAAAATAGAAGATTGGCACAGATGTTAGCGCAGCAACAATCTTCCTCAAGCAAAAAGAGGAAGCCTGGCAACAGATGTTGGCTCAGGGCCAATCTTCCTCACCTCCTCCAAAAAAAAGAAAAAGTTCTCTGTCTCTTTGAGAAAATAAGTCATATACATTCACTATCACTAGTGAGCCAGATAACATTCTGCCAATTATATAGTGATAATCCTACATTGCATACTGATACAATACAAATTATACTGATAGTCCTTTGTTTCTGAAACTGTGTATTAAAGTGGTTGCTAGAGACAGAAATAATTCAACAAATATTACTCAGAACCTTGTGTATATCAATATGCAATGAAATCATACTTGTATAGCAAACATAGTAAATACAAATTAAATTAGAAGAAGGGAGAAATTGGTATAGACTGCACAAAGTAGGTGAAGCTGCGCTTTGAGGGGCGGGCAGGACGTCACTCAGAAAAGAGGAGCTTGTACCTTGTGAAGAAGGATGTAGAAACAATACCATTCCAGGTGGTACTTGCTTCTATTGATTCTTCTTTCATAGATATATTAGAAT